GTGTACAGGCATTTCAGGGAGCGAGCCGAGGTCTTATTATAATTATAATATGGTCTTATTGCTGTTGGTTTGTCCACAAATATGGTTCTGCTTATTTGAAATTAGACTTCAGTAGAGACCTGTTCATTCTGTTTCTTCCTGTGAAAGACCTGGTTCATGCTGGAGCTCTTCCACAGTACAAATTTTTGCCTTGACTGAAAAGGCAATACAAGTGGTAAGGAAAAGATCAAACAATTTTGGAGTATCACCAAGTATTTTTTTGTATAGTGCTTGAATTCTCTTATAACTTAACGGGAATTTTATTGCATACCGACTTGATGAGTTAATACTTGTTTTGAGGCAAAACTGTTGAAATCTAATATGTTTCTGATGAGCCAACTGCTCTTGAGCAGGGAAGCTCTTGAGCTCATCTCAACAATCCCCCAAGCTGTCAAGTTTACATGTAATGGCCATAAACTGGAAAGGATGCGAAGAAGTTTCATGTGTTGGGTGAGAACTGAATAAGTCTCCATGAATCTGCATCCTTTTCTCAGCACACAGAAATGCCATTGTAGCTTCTGGAAACAATGTCTAGAAGTTGGTGTGTCAGCAGAGCTAATATTTTGATCAGAACCTCAAAACAACAGCTAACTTGATGTAAGAGAATTGAGGATAACCAGGGGTTTCTGTGAAGGAATACTCTTGCCAACAAGTAGCACTGCAACAGTTGAGAGACATTCTCACCGAACATAGGTTTAAAGACTTTAGTCTGAGAGGCTCACAGCCAGAAAATAGTGGGGAAGGGATGTAGACCTGTGTGTCCGCATTGCCTGTGTGGTGTTCTCATTTCACCTGAGCACTGAAATGCGTGGGTAATTTTATTCAGTGTTAGCTTAATCTTCTCTTTGCTGAGTTCCACCAGCTCTGGCAGAAGTGTTTTGGTAGAAGGTTGTGTTGAATCTGAGATAACAAAGTGCTGAATTATGAAATACTTATATCTGAAAGGAAAATTGGATTTGGGGGAGCCAGAAACTATTAATAGTAACTCTGTATACTGATAGTTAATTCTGCATGTGTTTGTGATGTTTCTTAGGAGTTGGGCCTCTGTCAACTTCGGGAAGGCGCATCTGGCAGCAGTTTGAGGGCCATTCTGTGTACTTTCACCCTGTTGGTTTATCATACTTACGTCTCCTTAATCCTTGGTGAGACCCATTGTGTAGCTGTTCAGTCATGCTACACATTATGATAGATACTGTGATTTTTCTGAACTGAATTTCAAAACTGTGTCCAATTAGCTGTGTAACAGGAGGTGGCTGTATACTTAATTATGATCTGAAATGAGTCAAAGCTATGTCTACCGAAACAGTGAGAGTAGATACCATTATATGAACATTTGTTGTATTTGCAGGGCTGTCTCAACAGGCAACAGCAAAATATCACAAAACACTTTTAAGTTCAGACAAGTCCTTACCAATAAATTAATGTCAGATATTGTGAAAACTATCTCTAGAAAGAAGTCTGTACTCCCAAACGATTTGCTTGGAAGTTCAAGCATGTGGAGAATTGCTTTTGCCACATGGGGCTAAAAGTCACCATTAATTCTGTATGCATCTTTGATGTATATTTTCACGTTCTTTAGTTTGGAAGTATTTTAGTCCTTGCCCCTCAGGCTCATCAGGAAATTAAGGAGAACTTCATTTCTTTCAGTATCACCTGTACTTCATTACTGAACTCAAAATTAGGAAGGGAGGGCAGCTGAGGAATGTTTTCCTAACTTGATAAAGCAATTAAAGGGATTTAAAAATATAACTAGGATCTATAATGGGACAGTTTAGAGAATATTAATATATTCTATTCTGTTTTTACTTGGAGTCATTTACTGTCATAAAAGCACTTAGTACCTTCAGGACAATAATTCATTTTTATAGAAATACAATATAATGAAATAATTCTGCTTTTGCATAAAAGTAATCATCCAGTAACCTGTTCGAGCCGTAGTATGTTTAGAAACCAAAATCTTAATCTATGCAACTTACTTGTTTTTTTAAGTACATTAAGGTTGGTTTACTATCTTTTCTAGGTACGGGGGAAGCCAACCTTCAGGAAGCAGACAGTCTCCTTGAACCCTACCTCCATAAATTTCCAAAAGTGTGTATTCTCAATACATTTTACAACAGCAGTGGACTTCCTTAAGCTTAAAATAGTAACTAGTTGTTTTTCTCATCTCCTTTCTAGGGTTCCATTATTCTATTTTATGCTGCCAGAATAGATATACTGAAAGGAAATTTTGAAAAGGTAAATAATTTTTTTCTTTTTAAGGTTTTTTGTTTAGTGTTCAACTTGACAAAAAATACCTAGTTCATCTAAGTAACTTATTTTAACTGAGCTGGTAATTATGCTCATACCCATGTTCAGTGTCAATACTGACTCCAGCTTTTGCTCTCTGTAGGTGAGATTGAAAGGGAAGCTTATCTCGTTTTACTAGTCAGGTGTTCTCCAACTGGGTGCTAGGAAGAATTTGCTCTGTAATTAGAAATGACTCTTATGTGGATCTGTAATTGAGCCAATTTTCATCATTCTTACTTAACTGCATTGTAGGCACAGTTGAGGTTCCAAGAGTGCATAGCAGCCCAGCAAGAGTGGAAACAGATTCATCATCTCTGTTACTGGGAACTGATGTGGTGCTACACCTTCCAGCAGAACTGGCTTCAAGCATATCGGTATGCAGACCTGCTCAGCAAAGAGAGCAGGTGGTCTAAGGTAAATGGGCAGGTGGATGTTGTTACAATATACCAGTAACCTTTCCACAGTTAAATTTGTGTTTCAGTTTGTGCAATAAGTGTGAATTTTTGCTTTCTTCTGAAACCTGTAAGCAAAGGCACAATGGCACTAAAATGGTAGCTTTAACTGGGTGGTTAAGGAGGAATTTTTATTTCCCATTCTGAAGCACCAGAGTTATAACTGACAACACTTTCAGCCCCTCTGAAAACAGAGGTACTTACCAGAGTTGTGAGAAGAAGAGGGAGAGGAAAACTGTTAACTTATATCCCAGGTGAGGTTCTAACACTGACTGATAAAACTTGACTGAAGAATCTGTGTTTGTTAATTATAAACAGACGAGAGCGGGCCTACTCGTCAGATGCTTTGCAACATGAAATGAGAAAGCTGGAGGTAGGGTCTCATGAGAAAAGTTAGTATCTACCTTTTTCTTGTAAAAAAGTTTCTCAAAGTATGAACCAAGCACAATGTGCAAATAATTTTTGGTACATCATTTTTTCTGTTCCATTCTAGATTACTGTTTTATTATGCTTAGTGGAAAAGGGGATACATCCATTTCTTGACAAAAGAGGAAGTGAATAGTATATTCAGTGTGAAGTACAAGTAGAATTATGGATGTTTCTTTTTTTTCTCTGCGAAGTCCAGTTACTGAACTTTCCTTGAATCAGTACTCAGATATTTTCTTCTATTTTTTCAGGCATGTCTCTACATGTAACAGATCATATAATAACATTAATGTTTTTTAAAACAGTTAATGTCATTTAACCTCATCTCTTTATCAGTGATTTGCATAATACATTGTCCTGCTCTTTGCAGGCAACACCTTTAGCATTCTAACTTATTTAGAATATTAATAAATATATTGAAAATAAAATTATAGCAAAAATTATGTAACATAGGAAATGCTAAAATTCTGTAGTGGGACCTGCCTGAGGATTACTGAAAACACTTCACTGCAGCAAGTTGGGTGAGAGAAGTTAGTCCTTCGTGTATTGACTTGATGCAGCAATTTAGATGAGGTAATACATTGCTATTTCTTTTTGAAATAGGCAATATATGTATTCCAGAAGGCAGCAATTCTGTGTATGCTTTCAGAGGATGATTTGAAAAGGACTGGTGAGGACGTCGTATCTTTATTCAGGTAAACATTTGCAAAACAACTAGGTATGCAGTCTTTTTCCCCCAGGTAAAAGCTTTTGACTTTAGTGTCTTAGTCTTGTGTAACTTACTTCCTGCTTACAACCATCAACTTTTCAGTTTTTTTCATTTGCTTTTAGTTTCTGAATATTTCAAATTGGCAGCAAACACAGGTCCTCCAACTGTGGTCCAAGTGGCGTGAAACAATTTAAGGTGTACTTAAGGGGAGAACTAAATGAAATACGATTAAATAAAAATTACATAAAGCAATGTTTTCCATTTTCCTTCCTTGTAGACAAGTGGATGGTCTAAAACAGAGAATTGCAGGAAAATCTATCCCAACTGAGAAGTTTGCAGTGAGGAAAGCTCGACGCTATGCAAGTTCTCAACCAGTGAAGCTGATACTGCCCGCCTTGGTATTTATGCATACTTTCTTTTTGTCCTTTTCAAATAGAAAAGAAATAAGTATAATTTATTATACAGGGAAAGAATAATATTATCAGGTGGTATATGTCTTTTAAAATTATTTTTTTAAGAATTATTTCACTAATACAATGGGATTTTTATGAAATGCCCTAGTGTCTGGGTCATGCTACCAACTAGTAGCAGCCAAACTGGAGCCAGATTTTTCATGTGAAAGTTCAAACATACAGAGAATCATTGCTGTTACCACGTGAAGCTGGAAGTCACCTTTTAGCTGGAAGCCTGCATGGGTTTCTAGAATATGTGTTCATGATCTTTAGCTTGGCAAGACTTCAGTCTTTGTCCTCCAGACTCATTAGGAAGTTAAGGAGTGCTTCAGCACTTCCTATTCTTCTGGTGAAAATGGAAGAGTACTGTGTTTTGGTTTGCGTTTGTTTGTTTTTTGGGTTTCTTTTTGTTTTGTTTTTTTCCCTCGAGTCTAAGTAGAATGTGCAGAAGTTAATGATACTTTACTAATGCTATTTTAATTTCCCATGCTTTTAAATTGAGAAGCATCAGTAGCACATAGTGCTACTGTGTGCACAGCAATGATACTTTGCATGTGTGTATGCTAAAATTTTTGTACGTGGGTAATTCAGCAACAACTGAAGAAAAACACAATTTGAGAAGGAATTTCTTATGTTAATGCTCATTGATATAGAAAGAGGATTCCAAAGAAAATTAATCCATCAGTTTTAAAATTCACTATGTACTCAATTACCTATAAAGACCTAAGACAACCTAAGTTGTCCTGAACTTGTACAGTGCTATTCAGTTGTGAGTATCTTTGGTCTTGCTTTCAGATCTTTTAATTAAAGAATTTTTCCCTCGTGGGTTAAGTGAAAATAAACATAGTGTATGGTGTTACTGCAGTAAGCATAAATTAGACAGGACTACAGAACTGAAACAAATCTAGCATAATGTCATTGATAGTGTCAATAATACTATTTCAGACTTTGATAGAACCAAGTTCTTTCTCTCTCTAAAAAAACAATTACAGCACAAATATAAGCAGAAATATTTCAACAGTATTTCAGTCAGCTTGAGAATGACATCAGGCTTCATATTTCAGATGTATAATTACAATTCAAATACTGTAGAACAAATTATACTCTTGTGTTTGCGATGACTGAGTAAAGGTCTCGGCAATGTTTTGTATTGATAAGCGTTAACTCTCTATATGTATTCTCTCATTCTCTTATGTGTTGCATTTAATACATCAAAACGATAATATTGCGTACTATTGTATGGAAGCACCTGGGAAGCTTTGTGCTGTGGATGGTTATTTAAAATTGTCCAAATACTTGGATTCCTGGGCTTTTGAACTGTGAATATTTTGGCTTTGAAACCTTTCATATTTTTTAAAACAAGTTTTTGTAGGCAGTGTTATTATGTACTCAAAATGTTCCATAACAGCCTTCCAAGGGATACTCTTTAGCTAAATATTTATGCAATTCCATGAGTTTGCCATGTTTATTTTTTTATTAGGAAATGATGTATGTCTGGAATGGCTTTGCAATTGTGGGCAGAAGAGCAGACCTCACTGAAAACTTACTGGTAACAATTGAAAAAGAAGAAACTGCCCTACAAAATGAAACTAGTAAGTGATCAGTTAAGAGGGAATTACTAAGCTGGTAAGAAGTGCTGGCGTTTTTCTTTGCTTCTGCCTACTAATGTTCTTTGAGGTGTTGATATTTTGATATATTTTATATATTTGAAGCATAGATGTTCAGGGTAACTTTTAGAGAATTATCTCTAAAGGAACTTAAGTTCCATTTTTACAACAAGTTTACTGCAGAAGTATCTGGCTTTATCAGGTTTTATCAGGTGGCTACTGTCATCTATCGTGAAATTCTCAGTGGACTTCTATTTTGCATTCTTCTAGAATGAATCAATATCTTTGTGCACATTAAAATTCTTTTAATGGTAATTCACTAAAAATAATTTATATTGAACCCTGATTTTAATCACACATATCAAGAATTTAGCAAAAGGTAGTTTTGCTACAGTCTTACAACATTAATTATGAAATGTAAAAGTATATCTAATTATAATTTTCATATAAACTGAAGTGATGCATCAGAAGTTATACATGGACATACAAGAAATGCATAGTGGTAAAATCTGGATGGTATACTTAGCTAAATGAGAGTAACTTGCATGGCCGAGATTGAATTGTGTCCCTTCATTTTTTTTGTTCTGTTCACTTTTCTGCAGAATCAATACTGTACCTCTTAAATCTCAAGTCTTTTTCAGTTTGTTTGTTTGTTTGTTTGGGTTTTTTAATTGTCATATTAAAACCAAAATGTAGCAATATGCAAGACATCTGCAAATAATGTAAAGTTCACATGAGTTCTGTCTGGAGGGTTCTGGCAGAAGCTGTTGGGAATCCAGTGCTGTCTCATGCAGAGGCTTGTAAGTGCTAATAGATTGTAATGGTGAAGTAATTTTCCTGTCAAATTTCTAAGCAGAGATGCACAAGGTACCAAAATAAAAGGAAAAGAAATAAAACTAGTATATTCTTCTTTTGGAAATGCACAGTTTACAAGTAAGATGTAATCTGGAAGCATATTTGGGTTTTATGTTTTCTGTATTTTTTTAATTAATACCTGCAGTCAAATGTAGTTTTGTTCTAGTCTTTGTGTTTGTGAGCCTGATTTGCTTTTAAAGATACGGACTCAGACAAGATAAAGACTTATTACTGGAACTGCTGCTGAATTGAGACCCAAAGGAAGTGATTAAGGCTATTAACAAAGTGTAGCAAGGGTACAATATTACTTTAAGAGACAGCTATCAGTGCTAGATAGCTTTAAAAGACTGCTAAGGTGCTGTAAAAAAGTGTGTTAATTATACACAAAGGTCATCTAGGGATTGAGACTTCTTAGAGAGAGCTGTTGATACTTCGCTTCAAATGAATGGGCACAGCAAGGAATCTGTTCAGGACTGAAAGTGGTTTTGTGTTGTACAGAGCTGAAAACAGAGATGGTAGAAGGGATAGATGAAAGACAATAGAATTATTTTTTTTCCCCTCAGGATTTCTGGAAATCTTATTCTTCTACCATTGTGTCGTCTCCAAGATACAAAAAAGAAGTTTGTGCTTCAGGAAAAATTAATTTCTTGTGTGTTTTGTAGTCCTGACAATATTTTAAATTGACCTGTGCTTACTGTTCTTTAGTTTTTTGGCCTAATAGCTTTTTTTTTTTTTTTTTTTTTCTGTGGGAAATACCAGGGAGATACTAGTTAAAGTTGTTAAAGACAGGCAAACTTTTACTGGCATCAGTAATTTCAGTGAATGAGTCCTTTAGGAGACAACCACATGAATCCAATACCTTATCTTAGCAAAACAGGCTAGAGGGAATGCGAAATACTCTCCCACCACACTTCTACCTGTCACTAAAAGCGCAGTCTGTCGATTGTTGTCTATGGAGACTTTCTGGGTTTAAACGCAGACAGAAATAAGCCTGAATGCAGTGGCAAAGCACTTTGCTGAATCCTAAGATGCTTTAGTCTTGCATGTTTCAGAACTGTTTATGTAGGATTTTTTTGGCAGACGATTAAGAAAAAATTAACATGACCTTAGAGAGCTGGTAATTAGTTGTAAACAACATGATCTGAAGGGAGGGTGTTTTGCTTCCTGAATTGTTAATGTATGTGCTACCATCTGTCTATCCATATGTGTTTTCTTTCCTTTCTTTTCCTTCCCTGCACCCAGCAAATGCTCTAAACCAAAGCAACAAAAAAGGACCGTGCTTGTTAAGGTTTTATTTCCGAACTGCTTCACAAAAGATCTTTCATCTGATATTTTTAGTCCTACTGAACATAGCTGTCTTGAATTTTCCAAATGTTATATATACTGCTAGTGAAGCTTCTCAATTGTTAGACATGATGGGAATACTAATCAATGTGGCTTATTGAATTTGTACTGCCAAATAGTGCTTCCTAAAAGTTCTACAGGACAGAGTCCTAGTGTGTTCTTGCAATTTTCATGTTACTGGTGCTCCTGGAGGTCTACCAGTGCTCTGCAACAGGTGAATCTGTTAAGATAATGTATTGTGAAGGAGGTTTCAGTCTCACTGTAGGTTTTGCTTCCTGTTTTAGTTGTTACAAGAAGAGAAGCCTTTAACTGATGTCAATTTATGACTGCTTTGTACTGACTTCCATATACAGAAGACTGGGGAATATCTGGGTGTTTCTTCTTATTTCTTCTTAGCATGTATCTTAAAGAGAAAGATAGAGATGTTAGGCACATATCCTCTTTAGTAAGAGAGTATTTAAAATTATCCCTAAAGATTATGTATATCTTGAGGTACAAAATCTGAGAAGCAAGGTCCTGAGTTTGAATATATATTCCTTACTGAAAACTTAATTTTCCTTTTCACAATGTCTTCAAATTGTTTGATGTATTTCGCTTTTGCTTTTAGATCACAGTGAATACTATATGGATGATGTGTGCATGTTGCAGTTACTGAAGGGTCTCTGCCTGAAACACTTGGGAAGACTCATGCAAGCTGAACTGTGCTTCAGTAAAGTAATTCAAAGGTAAAAATAACATAAATAGACTTTTTACCTTTATATTTTGTAGCTTTAGGTGAAATTCGTTCTACTCCTGTAGAAGCTATCATGTTAGAATTTTGAATAATTAAACTTCAACATCTTATCAGGGAGGTGGAATTAAAATACCTCTGAAAGTAATTGGAGAACCACAAAACTTTGCTAGTATCTTTCTATAGCAATTTAACATTACATAGCTTTACATAAATGTGATTTTCTAGGTGAAATGAATCAAACCATCAGGTAACACATTTATCTAAATATATGTGGAACAGTGTATTTGTATTTGCAGAACTATCAATAAAGTAAAGATTACTCATGTGGATTTCCTGCGTTTTTTTCAAATTTAGTACTTCAGTAGTTAATGCCTCTCTATGTAAATGAGAAATTGTTGTTGTTACTTGTTTCAGTTAAAAAGTTGAGTTTCCTGTGTTGTGGATTTATCAAATACTTTAGGTGTCAGATCCATATCTACTGTAATAACTTTTCTTCATATAACGTTCAATCATGTACTGGTTGCAGTTGTAAACATTTTAGAATTTTTAGAGTAATTAAGCTGAAAAAACAGTTTTTACACGTGTAATTTTTCTAAAAAAAAAAAATTAGAAAAATTAATATTTAAGAATAACTTGCTATGTGTAAATCTATTGCTTATTGTCACTTTCTTGCTATCTTGCTTCTCTTGCTATTTCTAAGATCCCAAGTGAGTTTAGTAAAGCGCTTTGCAAGTTAAAGGGCAGTGGGTTTTGATTGGTTACAAGTTAAAGGAACGCTATTTCTGAAAATCTTGACTCCAAAGATAGTTGACACAGTTGAGGCTTTTAGAGGTGAGATATCTCAAAACTTCAGACACCACTTCATAAAGCGGTTGTTTTGCATGGGAAGGAGATCAACTTTAGTCGTTTCTTGGGCTGCTACAGTATATTGAGACTGTTTATGACCTAAGCAGTCTCCTTGCTTAAAAACAGATTTTCTGTGCATTAAGAATTGTCTTGGTGGATGAGGTGCCTCTTTAGAAGTGTTGCTCACAAAATGTGGAGAGCTTTTGGAGTGCTTGTTGCGAACTTTTTCATTTTGCAATATTGGTTGAGGTTATGCCATCCAGATTAGAATCGAAGACTTGATTGTAAAGGACACAGGAAGGGCCAAAATATGAGATGCCTTCTTCACCTTGTTCCGTGGTGGCAAGATCAGCCTTCAGGAATTCCAGATCCATGATACCTGTGGGAAAGAATTACCCTTGGTGGAGGAGGGTCAGGTTAGGAAGAGTCAGCTGGAGGCCTGTCACCAGTAGAATAATGTAGAGTTCGATGCTGAGGCAAATAGCTTTTAATATCTTCGTTAAGGACCTGGATGGGACATGGATAATGGGACAGAATGCAACCTCAGCAAACGTGCAGATGATACAAAGTGGGAGGAATGGTTGAAATGCCAGATGTGTGTGCTGCCATTCCGAGTGACCTGGACAGGCTGGAGAAATGGGCTGGCAATAACAAAGTGCAAAAAAGGGAAGAGCCAGTCCCTACCCCTGGGGAGGAATAACCCCATGCATCAGCACAGGTTGTCCAAAGAGACTGTGGAGTCTCCATCCTTGGAGATATTTGAAACCTAGGTGGACACAGTCCTGGACAGATGCTGCCATTGATCTTGCTTTGAGCAGGGGATCCCCCCTGGGGAATCTTCCAGCCGCAGTGATTCTGAGAATTTCTTGTAGTGAGGAAGAGTTGAGTTTTCTTACTTTTCTGCTGATTTGTTCAGGGAAGTGAAGGTAAGAGGATCTCAATGCTGTGTGTGGGAAATATATCTTTGTATTATACTGCCTAGTGTAATGAATTTTGGTTTTGTCTCCAGTCATCTTTTTGGTTGGTTGGTTTTTTTGAACTGCTAAGTAACACAATAGGGTCCCAGTCTTGGAATATTGTTCATGGTAGCTTGGGTAACATACAATAATACAAATAGGAAATAAGAAAGAATAAATTTTTGCTTCTAGAAGGTTATGTTGTCAGTATTCTGTGTCCACTGTTTACAGGTGTAATTAATGTGCACAGGGTTAACCAGTAAATAGGTTCCAGAGTGTTTTCTCTGCCCATGTCCTTTTACAGGCAATGATTGCATTTAAAAGTTAACTGGTCACTTGAGGAAAAGTTGTAATTAACCACTTCTGTATTTTTCTGGTTTTCTAGTGAGAAGCAAATAAAATATGATAGTTATTTGGTACCCTTCACCCTGTATGAGTTGGGTCTTCTGTACAAACAACAGGATGAGAGAGAAAAAGCAATAAGATACATAGAAACTGCAAAGTAAGTGGTGTGTGGGGTTTTTTTTATTTGTATCAGCCTGTAGATTAAGAATAATTGAATAACCTTAGCAACAAAGTAATGTGTTTTTTTCTTCCTGACAACCCCTTTGCAAAATATAATTATAAATAGTGTTCTTGACTTGGAAAAGTTGTCCAATATAATTGAATTTTACAGTTTCAAGAAACTCTGTTCTTCAAACACAGTGCAGTAGACAATATAAAACAAGACACAGTATGAAGGGATAATGTCTCCTTTACTTTTAGGCTTCAGAGATGCTGAGGCTCCAGTGCATGCATGGGATGGAGCTGGAGAGTGCAGAGAAAGGATCTATCCCACTTCTGTCCCAGTAGGCAACTGGGGGGGCTTACATCTGCTGCAGTAAATGTGTTAGTGAGAGCAGGTTAAAAGCCAGCACACTTCCGACCACCTCCTTTTTTCCTTTCACATCCTGTCACAGAAGAGCAGTAGAGAACTAAACTTAGTGTAGAGCAGCATGTTCACTTCATCTGTACTTTGTAGTATGGGGTAGAATTTGCCCCTTGTGTGTACAGAGAAGTATGCTGATCATGCAGTAGCATTGTAAATGTGAATTAGAAACGATCTCCTAAAACCTTTTTTAGAAACATAATAGTTCTTTGCGTTGTTTGTTTGTTTGGATTACATACGTAATTTCATTGTGTTTTATTACTTCAAGTTGTGTTTTGAAGCTGAACATACACTTTCAGCAGACAGCTTTTCTTTTCTGTAGTCTTCTAGCTCGTCTTTTCATAGGAAACTTCAGTAACTGGGAGGGCTGTTGAAAGTATCTCTTTCACTTTCTTTTGATCCTAAGACAAGGATTCAGTTTATCAGGACCTTTAATTGTTAGAATTGGTGTAAATCTCTGCTTAGTTTGTGGATGTAGCTTTATTTGTCTAATAACTCATCTGTGCATCGGCCTCTGTTTCCTGTTGAAGGAACGAAGGCTGTTAACTTTGGTACTTCAGTGCATGTATGAAGTAGAGACAATCAAGCCAAAAATGTTTTTCTTAAAATAACTTTATTGTTTTTAGAAACAACTACAAAGAATACTCTATGGAGTCCAGGTTGCACTTCAGGATTCATGCAGCACTTGACAGCTTGAAGGTGTCACCTGCTTCAACACCTTGAATGAGGATGGATGCTTTTCGTGCGTACAACGTATACAATAGCCTACACAATCTTTTTGCAATATTTTTTTAATCATGGAAAAGAAATCGCCTAATGATTGTTTTCTGTCACCTCTTGATTTGATGTATGTCATTCCTTTAGACTGTTCTTTTTCTGTGTAGTACCTACTTGATACTTTAAAGGAGACCTTATATTTTGTTTAATAAAAATAATTTAATATTTGACTTGAATGGGGGATATTTAAAAAAAGTTGATGGTGCAATAAAGTTTAATGTAAACACTGTATTTTTTTAATATGAAAACAGATGCTGGTTATGCAGTGGAACTGGTGATAATGTCTGCATTTTTTGAAGGTTTATTTTCTGCAGTACACTTGAGACGTTTTGCCTCTGGAACAAAAATGCAATGCCTGCAGATAACCTCACCCACATTTGGCAGACCATTTTCTGAAATTTGTGTTCCAGAGGAAAAATTCATAATCTTTGACTTAATTTCATTTTGGGAACAGAATTAACCTGTCTGAAGTGCAATATTTTTATGCTGTCAGATAAAGTTAAGCAGGGCTACAGGTATAATGTCTTTCCAGATCAGTTTAACTCAAAAGACTTCGTTACTGGGGATATTTTTCAGAGATAGGAAAGCAGGACTTCCAGGGACATTAAGAGATCACGTATTGTGTATTCTTGTCCTAAAGCAGAATCAACAGTCTTTATGTTGTTCCTGACAGACTTGTTTAACCTCTTTTTTAAAACAAAACAAAACAACAAAACTTGTACTGAGAGAGATTGTGTAACTTACACAGGATGTCTTTCCCAGTGGGAAGAGACTGGGAAATTTTTCCTGATATCTACCCCAAATAGTTCTTGGCATAACTGAAACTTGATTGCTCCCCATCTTCCCTGTAATGGATCTGGAGAAAGGATTGTTCTTTTATTTTTTTATTTTTATTATTATTTTTTTTTTAAACAGTCCTTTAATATATGAAGACTGACCGCCTTGTTGGTATTCTGTTATTGGATTCCAACCGAAATAAATAAAAATTTGAAGAATTTGTTTATTTTTCTAATATAGCAATAACTCATATTAATGCAAGCTGATTCCATCAAAAACTGAATCCACTTTCAAACTTGGAGTTAAGCAAATGTGCATATTCAAATCACAACTTTGTAATTTCTACCAAAAATGTGTAGTAACATTGAGATAAATTTGTAAGTGCATGTATTTTTCTTTTCACATTATTATATGAACTGCAGTGTCAAATTGAGTTTACCAGTTCATTATATATGCAGGTTCTGCTAGCTTTCTGTTTTTTAAAATAGGAGCATACTTGATTTTTATTTAAATATACAACCAATAACTGTTCTTCCACTAATTATTGCAAAACTCGTCCATTTCCATATTTTATTATTATGCCAGTGTATTGACTCTGCACAGTAAATTCATAGTAATGAATATATGTGATTCTTTGCCCTTATCTCCCACCCAAGAAAAAACAGAACAAAAGAAATAGGTAAAAATGTGTCTTCGGTAAATTAGTAACTAAATGTTTCTAGTTAAACAGTCAATATAGTGTAAATGCTATAGTTATTCTTCTCAGCTGACTGAGAGCATAGCTTTATTCTATAACTTTATAAATAACTGAATCATTTAATTGCATATAAGTCTATAATAGTGACATATTTACAGGTGATGTAAAAGTTTAAAAAGATTAGCTAAATAAACATAATGAGTCTTTCAAAATTGAAACCTTATCCAAAGTCTGTTGTCTTCACTGGTTTGGATTTGTGCCTATTCTAAATGCATAACTAAATTATGTAAAATTATACACATGTAGGTTTGAAGCTTAGGTACCTGAGACAATGAATCACTGAAAAAATGTACCATGTTTATTTTAAAATATACTCTATTGACTTTCTATTGAAAGAGACTTGTCTCTTTGTCAACAGAGATTACCATATGCTACTGACTTCCCTAATTACTTGCCCATTTATAAGCTGTAGACAGCAAAAATAAAATTCTGTACATTACATTTTCAGACAGTACTTTTAATACCTATTTGACTATTTACATGGTCAGTTTAGGATTATTTTGGTTTAATCTGATTATTGGATTGTAGCAATCAAATGGAACCACTTCATTTTGTCATGAAAGGTGGTGAAAACAACTGCTGGTAAAAACTTCTGTTGTTTGTTTTTCAGGTAGTCATTTACTCTAGGGAAGAGTTAGAACTGGGACTACAGACTCCCAGGATGGAGTGTGAAGTATAGTCTCTCACCTCTTGTTTTTGTGAGGAGTGTCTTACAGTTAGTATTTTATGGGTGATTTAGGGTAGGAGTCAAAATTAACAAAAAGTAAACAGTGAGTTTCCTTATAAGCTGATTTTTTGGAAATGTAGTACATAGTGTTGTGTAGCAGTGTACTTATTTCATGGATAACAATACTGACTGCAGAGAGTGTAAAAGATAATTTTGTTTTCTTCAGTTCAGCCTTCCAAAGTCAATATTAACACCCTGTGTATGTTACACTTTGTCTCTTTTGGGATCAGTCTTTTTGCACTCATGCGGAGAACAGGCATGTCAACACAAATTTGCAATATCCTCTGTAGTGTTTTGATGCCCTGAGGTCCCCAGTGTAAGTTACAGCTTGTATCCTTTTCTGTGCTGCTGTTCCACACTTGTTTGTAAGAAAGCCCGACTGATCAAGATTCTTATCTTTATTCTGGATTTTTTTCCCAATTTATTAATAGTGAAGATACGAATGTGTGAGAGTGATTTGTAACCCTTCACTTAAGGTAGGTCTCAGTAGAGCATCTCAGAGATGCTTTGTCTTCCAAATGCTGCAGAAGCACGTGTCTGCCTGAAACAGTGTGTCATAATGCCCTGTATTTTGTACATTATGGCTGAGTTAAGATAAGTGATTGTGTCTAAGGATTTGGATGAAAAGTCTATGGCTTTTTTTTTTTTTTTTTTTTAAATCTTCTGTATACTGTACTGGGCCTTAAATACAACTCTGATTTAGTCTTGCTGCTTTTTGTAATCTTTACCTTATTTGCTCATATCCCATGGGAATTTTGAATAATATGCTGAACCTTTGAGCAAAGCTGAGCATTTACCTATGATGCTATAAACTCTGTTCATAATAGTAAGAATTATAATATATACAGGAGCAAAGCTAAGTCCTTAGTTTAAGCAAGCAAGGCTAAACTTACATAGTTATGTTGTGACCAAAGGTCATTCTGATCTTTGTGATAATAAATGTTTGTTGTTGGTTTTTTGTTTTGTTTTGTTTTGTTTTAAGGTGAGGAATAATAAAAGAGCCTGGTTATAAGACAAAGCTTCTCTTTGGTTAGGAGTTGTCTGCTTAGAAAATAATACAAACACTTGTCTGTGTATCATTCAAATATTTAGTCTGTTGGTGAAAGATTGTTGTATTATGGTTTTTAAGTCCTAGCTCACCACTTTAACAAAAATGGAAAGAAAATACATGGTAAAAGAAGGCTGAGTAAAGATTGTTTTATATCTATTGTAATACACGTGGGTAGCAGCTATATTTAGCACCTTATGGCCAGAAAAATGTACAATTATCAGATCCTGTTATGTTTTTAAAATACTTTGCCAACTCATGTATAAAAAAAGTAATTTCTTGTAACGAATCCAACATAGACTTTGCAATTATTTTATTACTAATCTTAATGTTTAATGTCCTTTTGTTTCTGTGTATTCTTATACTACATAGTTCAACAAAGAATGTTTATATTTGCACTTGGTGGTGCAGTTTATTTGCTTCTAAACTACTAAGGTTTGCACATGTTCATATCTGGTACTTGAATAAAACCAAGGTCAGAATAATGGAGGATGAGAGATAATGAATTATGTTCTGGTTTTAAGAGCATGTAGAAACGTTAATTGTGATGCATTGGAATGGATTCTTACTTCATAGGAATAAATCACATTTTGTGCTTGTGCTACCAAATGGTGAATTTGGCACTGTATTTTAGTTGCGCATAAAGAACCTTCAGCTGAGATTTATCAAAACACAATATCAACAAAAAAGGCCTGATCCCAAGTTTAAGGATGCTGTCTTGTGCACATAGCTCTTTTGTACAGCCTGTCTAGGCTGAGAGATTGTACAAAGCTATTGAGGTTTAGGAGAGGTTAAGGGTCTTTTGAAATGTAGATAGCAAATATAAAATAAACTAGTCTTAATTTCTCACTAGGGATCAAATAATACCTTTAAATGGCATAAAATACATGAGTGATTAATAATTAACTCATACTGTTATCAGTTATGTCATTAAATTCAGGGAGAACTAGACATAATGTACTTCTGGGATTCTTTTAAAATCACAGCATTAAAAACAGGGAGAAAATTATCTTCTCATATGTGTGTAGGGCTTGGTTTTAGTAATATTTACATAAGTAAATGTTCACAGTTGTTTTTTTTTTTAATGTGGCATGGTTACACATTTCCATAGCTGCATGTAGTTTTACCTGATGCTTTGCAGCAAATAGGTCAACTTAATTACCATGGTTTGAATGACAAGAGTGGTGGTTGTGGTTATCATAAGAACAGAGAGAGTAGATTACTTAGCTCATAGAAAGGCAAAAGAATGTAGATGCTCCTTTATACTTGTTGCTATCTGTAAGATGCTAATTTACTCTCGATTATTAGATATACCACAGTCCAGAATAAAACCTTTGTAGCTAGAGTGCTTGCAAAGTAGTGAATAAAGGAAGTACGTTCAGTAGATGAAGAAAAAGAAGAAATGCAAGAAAGACTTAAGCACAAAAGCAGGAACTACATCTGCATTCATGCAAGCGGTTGGCAGAAGTTATGTTACATTTATAAGTCTAAGCTGTAGTCATCTGATCAGCTCAACACTTAGACTTCCTATGTTTCAGCCATGGGAAGGATATCAGTGGTGCTGGGACCTTAGCTCAGTTTGGTGGTTTGTGGGTTTTTTTTGTTGTTTGTTTTTAGGTGTTTTGGTTTGTGTTTTT